AGGAAGCCTTGGAGAAGGTCCCTGATCAAGTGACATCACTGGTGATTCCCAGAGGCCCAGACCCTGGAACGGTGTGAGCTTGGGAGCTTTGGAGACGCTGGCAGTCAGGACGAGTGGAAAAGTGCTGGGGTGGAGTCAGGGAAGCAGCAGGACATCTGGGGAGGTCAGGGGTTCCGAGGGGCTGGGCGGAGGCAGCCGTGTTGCTGGCCCAAAGGACTGGTGCAGGGAGTCAGGGCAAGCATTAGGAGTTCAGCAACTGCTGTGGCCGGGAAGGAAAAAGCAGATGCCCTGCCTGGGAGAGGAGGAACAGAGGCCTGGCAAGATCCAGGAGAAAGGGAGACAGAGCGGTGAGCAGCCTGAGGAGCAGCACACCCTGCCTCCTGCCTCACCTGGGCTCCTCGCGGGCCAGACGTCCAGCCGAGCTCCCCCACCAGGCTGCCCCTCTTCGTCCCCAGGCTCCTGCACGCGACCTCTCTGTGCCTGACTCCAGGTGGGCGAGTGCCCGGGGCGCTGGAAGGGGAGACTCTGCCCCCACCCCAGGGGCAACCCCCCGCTCCCTGGTCACCCCAACGCGCTGCATCAGAAGGGTGCTGCTTTTCACTCACGACAGCTTGGGGAAGCGGAGGCAGAGGAAGGAGAGAAAGGGAAAGAATCAGAAGGGAGGGAAATTAGGCTTTTCAGGCTCCTCTGAGAAGGTTCATTTTCCAAAGGACTTAAAAACACACATACTTCAACTGCAAAATTTGTAAAGCAATCTTAAAAAATCTTGCTTCGTTCAGGGACCACTGGAGGATTAAATGGCTTGAAATCTTTTGCTGATCAAACTAAAAGGAAAATAAACAATCAGCCTTTGCTCAGGGGCCTACTTCTTTCCCTGAACAGCTGAGAAACAGCTGGAGGAGGCTGGGCAGCATCAGGAGTCCTGGTGTGAAGGGCACTGGGCACAGCGTCTCCATCTCCGGTCTGCGGTGGCTCAGCCTCACCGTGCCTCTCTGGCCCACTGGCTTCCTTTCCCCACCGACCAGGGGGAAGCTGGGCCTCCTCAAAAGCCTCCCAGGCTGGCCCTGTCTGCCAGCCTGTCTGTGGCCACCCATTGTCCCCTGGAAGGGTATCACTTTCTAATCTCCCGGGAGCCACCTCCTCCTCCTAATCTAAACGCTCAGGGGAAGACTAGCAGAGCAGCAGGCGAAGAAAGATGGAAACAGATAGCTTAAACCCCGAGGGGCACATTCATGTGGAAAACACAAACTGGAGTCTCCGAATTCTGAAAACTAAAGAAAGGGGGTGCACACCAGCTCCCACCCTTTGTTCCCAGACCTTTTCATCTGAAACTCCTTTCCATTCTTCCCTGCAGTGTTTCTTTCCGGGTTCTGCCCCCTCTTCTTGTGTGCGTCCTTCCTTTTAGGTTTTATAGGTGCACGTGGCGCTGACCTCTCAAAGCAGTTTTAGAGATGGGCTGTTTACATCCAGGAATTTTCTTTAAGGTCTCCAAAGCCCTTTGTGCCTTTTCCAAGAAAGGCTCTGGTAAAAACCAAAACAAACTGAAGAGCTCTGATTTGATCAAATCTCTCAGGAGAAAAGGAAAAAGGAAAGTTCGCATTTATTTTTGTTGTTTCCTTTTTTCTCCCTTAACTCAGGCAAAGGCCGAGCCATCTGGCATCCAGTCTTGCTTGGAAAGGGCTCGAAGGCTGCGTGAGGCTTGGAGACTCGGTGATGCGGTAAAGTTCTGCCAGGCTCACCCACCTCTGAACTGGACGGGGGCCGGGCTCAATGTCTGCTTTGCCAGGGCTCTGGGAAAGCTCATGCTGGCGTGTTTTACATTTTTCTCTGGCCACGGGGAAGGGCGCTGTCGTGAGTCCTGGGGCCGGGGCTCTGTCACTCGGGCACAGCGGTGCCTGTTTCCCCTTTTGGTGTTCTGAAGCCCGGAGTCCTGTGGTCACAGTGCAGACTGACCAGAGCTGGGCAAAGCTGGCCAAATGCAATCACGCTCAGTTGTTTGCCAGGCTCCTCCCCTTTCTATAGAATCCACTCTGTGAAAACCTTATCAGGGGTCAGCAAGAACAAGGGCTTTATTTAGGGTTGGAAAACCCTATATTTGTATTTTTTCTCCATCAATCATCGCCTCTGACCCTGAACAAGACAATGTGTTTGGATTTCCGTTTCCCTGGCTGTCCAACAGTGATACTAGCAGCTACCTGGTATAACAGCTAGGAGAATTAAGTGAGATAAAGGGTATAAAAACCCTGAAGTCATACTTGGCAATTTGCATTAATCAATATATATCTATTTTCTCTATTTAAGCCCAAAGCTGAGCTCTTCATCTGAAACACTGTAAATTCAAACCTTCACGCCTTTGGAACGTCATGTGTCATTAACAAAACAAATGGAGGCGCTCGCTTTGGCAGCGCATATACTAAACAAAACAAATGGAGGTAAGACAAGGGGAAATCTAAGCCTCCACCAATGCCTTCCAGCGGAAGTGACTCGTCCATGGTTCCCGCCACAGAAGAGGGGGCATTGCTACCAGTGTGACTTCCGTGACCTACTGACCGGGGCCCGCCCCAGCCCAGGCCCTCAGCATCAAGGACAGCAGTGGCAGGGAAGACCCTGCGGAGCGACAGCTGCCGCAGGAGAAGCTGTGAGCCAGGGGATGCCAAGGGAGGGTGTCTGAGGTGCTGGCCTGGGATTACCCACGCAGTAATGCTGAGCAATAAGGGCTCCTCGTGATGGGCCATTACACGCGGTTGTGTTGTAAAAGACCCAATCAAAAAATGGGCAACCCTAAAGAATAGACACTTCCCAGAAGAAGTGCAAATGGCCAAGAAGCACATGACAAAATGCTCATCCTCACTGGCCATCAGAGACATGCAAATGCAAACTACACTGAGTAATCATCTCACCCCAGAAGGAGCAGCTATCATCAGAGAGTCTTATAACAACAAATGCTGGCGAGGACGTGGGGATGAAGGAACTCTACTACACTGCTGGTGAAAATGTACCTTGTTACAACCACTATGGAATTCAGCACGGAGATTCCTCAAAAGACTAAAAGTAGAGATTCCACTTGGCACAGTATTCCCCTTCTAGGTATCTTCCCTGAAGAGTTAAAATCATCATAGTACAGGGATCCATACATACCCACATGTTTATAGCAGCACAACTTATAAGAGCTAGATCTTGGAAACTGTGTATATCCATCAACAGATGAATGGATAAGGAAAATGTATTTGTACAGAGTGGAGCACTATACTGTCATAAAAAGATAATCTTGAGAGATTTGTAGGTAAATGGATGCAAGCTCAAATATCATAGTTTCTCTTATGTGAGAAACACAAATAAAGAACAAAATAGAAAAGAGATAAATAAGAAATAGGGAGAAGTACCAATACTTCCCCAAGTTACAAATTCGATATATATATGTTCATTGGTTTCATCTATATTATTAATCTTAGTTCATTGAAAAGAAAGATTTGTTATTATCTGTTTCTTTTTTGTAAGAATCTTTTTGCTTTATGTCTTATACTCTGAGTAACTACTTTGAAGATACACAGTATAGTATAGTAACTTCTGTTATTCTCTTATTATTTGATTATGAAATTCTATTTTATTTTTTCATAAAAGAAAAAAAAATTTAAAGCTTTCACTGCACATGCAGATTGGCTTGCTAGATGCTAAGATATCAAAAGATTGAAACCCCACCTGTACCCGCCTCCCAATCCACTGTATGGCTCTACGACCTTCAGGGTGGGTAGTTGTTTTTTTTTTAGGGCAGATATTCACACTTGTCAAGAGAATGTTGATTTTGCTTGAGACAAAATACTTGCAAATGAATTTTTAGCATTTAAACAAACCCTAAAACTTCACCAACAAATATGATTTTATAATACCAAAACTATTTTCAAGACTTAAATTTAAACAAAAGTGTCTGAACAGCAAAACAAAACAAAATAAGAGGGCCAAGAGTCCCAATTAGGCAATTCCACTCAGTAGGCAAAAGGATTAGCTGATTTAAATATGAAGATATTTTCATCCTAAAGTTTTATTATGTGGGCCAAAAGAATGATACGGTCAGTAGCTCAGAGAGAAGATACACATTTGCTAAATGGTTGGTACTCCAGAGCTATGGAAGGAAGAGAAGACAGGGTCTGGAAGCAAGAATCGCAAACTGTTTCAATGCATCTCTTTGCCCAGAGTTGGCCCAAGCTGCTGGGCTCCTGGGGGAGGTGCCACTGGATTTGAGCTCCCGGATGTAGCTCAGGCTCCACCGGAAGGAAGGGCAGTGACCCTGGGTCCTTGGCAGCACCCTGGTGACCCACGTGTTGAAAGATGTGGATGAGCAGCAAAAACAAAGTGGGTTGATTCAGCACAGAGAGGGGAGGGCAGACCCGCTACCCTATAACAGCACCCAGAGAGGCTGGAGGGCAGCCCTCTCCCAAAAGTCTTAGAGGAACAGGGTGGGATTTAAGTTAGGTATAAAAAGGATTTTTAAATTGTGGTAATATATATGTTATAAGTATAAAATTTTCAATCTTAACCATTTTTAATTATACACTACAGTAATTTTAACAACTAAGGGCACATTGTTGTGGCATAAAACGGATCTCTCTTGGTAGTGAAGTTTGTGGATAATGTTGGATCTCTCCCTCTTTCTCAGTTTGGTAGGAAGATATGGAATTCCCTTCTTAGAAATTTTATAATACAGCCTGCATTCTGAGCCCCGAGGGCCAGGTGAGATGAGCCCTAAGGGTCCTGTATGGCCCCAAAACTGCACAGTGAGGCCATAGTCAGGCTGCTCAGCAGCAGTGCCCACACTTAGGAGAGCAAGCTAGAGCTGCCTTGGGCAAAGCTAGACACTCGGTCAGTCTCTGCGCTGCTGGAAACGGACCCTGGGGGTGTCAAACTCCGATTCTGTATGGGTTGATTTTATTAGCATGGGAGGGTGACAGTGTTGGCTTTCACTGAGGCCCTGGGCAAATGCAGCTCCACACTGTTGGCTTTACCTTGGGCTTGTATGCGTTCAGCATGGACATCTCCACGTTCTGGCCCCTGACATGTTTCGGCTGCCTCTGCACCGGCGGTGATGACGACTTCTGGTTATTGCGGCAGACACAGATGAAGAAGAAGAGGAAAGCAATGGCCAGGGGAATGGCCACACTTGGCACCAGGATGTACAGGATTTCCATCTTATTCTTCTCCTTGGAATCTTTCGAGTCTGGGTGCAGAAGGGAGAAAGAGCGAGTCACGCTTGTTTCCATGTGTACCATCACACTGCACAGTTTAAAACGAACTTCTATTCTCCTAGACACACAGAATCAACATCAGAAAAAATACACTGCTTATTGCACTTGGTTTCTACCGAGTCTCGACAGAAATTATTGAAGTTTAAAAGTTTTTTTGAACAGGAACATGATGAAGTTTTTTGGGGTACATGGACCCTCCTCTGATGTTGCCTCTTTTGAGCAGCAAACCTGCATTTCTCTGACACCTGAAGAGTTAAACACCAAGTGAGCCCATTGCTACATCCGGGAGACTTCCTGTGGACCACAGGGCTCTTCCTCCGTCGGCCGCCATCTTGAGGAACCCTGCCCTGGACCTGGCCGGCCTGGACGTACAGGGCCGACCTGCGTCTTCCAGAATCAGCATTGCCAAAGCATCCTGATTCCAGTCTCCCAAAAGCCACTGGCCCAAGAATATGGGGGTCTGAAGTTAGGCAGTTCCATCTCGGAGGGGTTGGGTGACCCCCAAGCAAATCATTCCTATCACGGCCTCGCGTCCTCTCAGGGCAGAAGTGAAATGAATGTTGTGGATGGTGTCTGCAATTCCCTCCCGCACAGAAGCACCATATAACTCGGCACTTGCTTGAAACCCTAGAATTCTTAAATGGTTTCATATGAACCAAGTAATTATGAGTGCTAACACTTTGAAGTGCATTTCTGAAATCCTATACAGGCACTTTCCTATTGCTTGGCAAAGAATATATGCAGAGAAGGATGTGAGGTATGCTTTTCTTTTTATTGGTTTTATTCTGACCCTTAAAACTAAAACCTTAGGACAATATTTTCATTAGTGAATTATTTGAGTGGTAAAACAAACACGAGAAGTATAGGATGGCAATTAGAGAGGTTACATAATGCCATGACCCAACCACCAAGATCAGCTATCTTTTCTTTAAGAAAACCCAAAGTGTGAAAATAAAGATTGACACAAAGCTCAGCGATGATTATTTACTTTACGAAAGAATTAATATGCATCCACCCAGTTATCCATCCACTCCTTCAGTAGGTCAATAAACAAGCACTACCATGTGCCAAGCACTAGCATAGGTACTGGGAATGTAAAACTAAATACAATGTAAAAGTAAACACCACATGTCCTCTACCCTCTTGCAGCTCATGGTCTTGCAAAGAAAGAGAAAAGATAATCACAATATACGGTTTTAAATGCTGCAATGGAAGTATGAATGCAAAGATGCAAAGATTGGAGAAGTTCCTCTACATAGGAGTTTGGGCAGCCCGCTGTATGGTGCCCATGTGCTCAGAGGAGAGTTCCTCCATGCATGGCGGTGAGAAGGACAGGGATCCGAAAGACCGGACCAACACCGAAGCTTTGAAAGACATGCTGCTTTTGACCTGCATACCTTACCCACTTCGATGGGTAAATATATAGCCTAAGCATTGTTGGTGACCACAGTAATCACTGCTAGGTGCTCGAGCAATGGTTGTATCTGCATGTCTGTGGACGCATAGACAGGAATTATGGGAGAGAAAGTGTCTGCCTCAGGGCTTGAAGTGAGCACACCACACACACACACACACACACACACTCACCCATATTGGTCACCTTTCTGCCTCTGTGACAAAAAAGCCAACATAGAGGAGGAAAGATGCATTTTGGCTCACAGTTTCAGTACAGTCCACTGGCTCCATTGCTTTGGGCCTGTGGGGAGGCAGAAACAACATGGCGGTAGGGCGTGGTGGAGGAGAGCTGCTCACCTCACAGCAGCCAGGAAGCAGGTGAAGTGAGAATGACAGGAAAGGGCCAGGATGAGTGAGAGTCCCCAAGGTCATGCCCCCAAGACCCTCCACCTTCAACAAGCACCCTCCAGGTTACCATCACCTCCCAGTGATACCATCTGCACATGAGCTCATCCATGGACTGACCCACTGTGAAGTAAGAGCCTCATGATCGGTCACTTTCCAGAAGCCCCGCCTCTGAGGACAGGATTCTGGAGAAATTTTGGATCTAAACCATAATGCACCCTGTGCATATACTTCACGGACAATGTGGCAGAACAAGGAAAATGCATGGTCTAAAGTCCGCAGCCTCAGAGTACTGCCTTTGTCGTTACCTATGTGGACTTGAACTGGCACTCAGGGGCTCTGAAACTCACCTGTCAAAGGGGAAAAATAACACTCACTTCATCCAACTGTCGCGTACACTGAACAGAGCAATGTGGAAAACACATCTGTTATTCCCTGTTGCAACTCAATCACTCAGTTTATCTTTAGAGTAGCAGGAGATTCTGGGATGGACGTCTGGGGCTGGAAACTCAAAACAACCTTAAGCAAGAAACCACCTCTATGATCTCCATTTCCTCCTTTATTTTCGGAATAATAATAACACCTGGTCCCTCAATCCTTCTTGGTTCATGTGAGAATCACACGAGATAATGCTCACCAAAGAACCTTGAAAAATTGAAAATTGCCACACGGCTGTTGGATGCTGTATTATTAACATGATAGAATTTCTCAGTGTCCTGAAAGGGCGGATTTCTGTTGTTATTCTTGGATTTTTGGTGAAATCATTACGAGCATGACGATTACAAAAGGAATGAGGCTAATTTAGTACTAATGTGAGGCTAGTCATTTTTCTAGCCTAGGTCTTTTTAGCAACAAGAGAAAGTAAGGGCTCACCTGTCTGGAAGACAAAAGAGTCTATTTGCATTCGTTCCCTATCAGGTTATTCTTCTCGGAAGGCCTTTTATTGTCAATGGGCAGTCTGGGACAGATTCCCCCCGGCAGGCCTGCGAGAGAACAAACTTCAAGAAGCTAAATCCTTTAAACTCAGTCAGACCTGGCTCCCCATCCTCACTGCGGACACAAGAGGAGCCATCTTCTTGCCAGATGAAATAAGCAGAACAATACGCGCTTATGTGGGAGGTGACAGGGAACCGATTCAGGCCTATTCTGAGTCTGAGGCCTTCCAGGGCCTCTCTCTGCATTTGGCCAGGAGAGGGTTCAGTCTCTGGCTGTTAAAAGCATTGAAAAAGATATTTTACAGAAGAATGAGCCTCACTCATGGAAACTGGAGTAAGGGCCCGAGTAATTTCCCTGTGGTGCTGAAGCCGAGCCCTTGTGCAGGCTGGGCAAGTGCTCTGCTACTGAGCCACACCCCATCCCTTGCTCCTCTTTCTAACCTGGCACTTTGGCGTTTTCTCAATTTTATGCGCAGAGACACGGAGGCTGGGAAAGGGTAGATGAGATGCCCAGACTGCAGTAGGAGACTGGGTTGGAATGCAAGTCTGTCTGCCGTCAGTGCTTCTATTCTTCCTGTATTACATTACTAACACGAACTGCCCTAAAATATCGTGTGGGATTGTTCTTCATCATTCTCTAGCAGTCAAGGAGCACTAATCTCTGGTGGGGATTGGGTCCATTTTAAGCCATCACATTGAACAATGGGCATTATTCTTTCTAGTCACTTGAAAGGGTAATGGGGACTTCTAATGCATTGCAGAGAAAATTGGCTGAAAATTCGAATGGTGAAGATTTTTAATACTTTGAAATAACTGTTTAAAAGTTAAACACACATATAAGTTACATGGAGTTCAATGCTTGAGATTTTTGAAACCAATAATTTAGTCCAGGTCACATGATTAATTTCCTTTTAAAAATCAGCAATTTGGTATCACAGTTCACATCTGACATTCCTGTTTTATTTTTACAGTGATATTCAATACTTTGATTAGTAATTAAATATAATGGAGAAAATACTCCTTTCTTACCCTGGGGCTTAAAGCAAGGTAAACATGATTTCTTATTCAGGAGGTACTTTGGTAATGTGAAACATCATCTGGGATATTACTTTGAGTTAAAACAAGAAAATGCCCTAACTTTAAACATAGAAAAGGTGGGAAGAAATCTTATAGAACCTTAGAATTCAAAGGAAATGAAACAAGTTTAAATTATGATCTTGTCTGAAAAAATTTAAAAACAGAAAATAACAATCAGTACTATTTGAGAAACATAAAGTAAGTGAGTCTGTGGCACACAGGGCCCTGCCCTGGTGATCTGCAGCCCTAACCCTGGAACCCCGGGGAGGAACAGCATGCTCAGCTTTTGGCTGGCAGGCTGGCTGGGCCTTCACTCCCTTCGCTGCATGATGGGAATACTAAGCAAATGACCTCCTACCTTACATATTCGCAAATGAACTCTTTTACAAAAATGCCGACAAGGCTGCATCAGTGATTAAGCTTTCTCTGCGGAAGAAAGTTTTCATTACAGAATGTTGGGGTAGCCCGTTTGTGGGCACTCGGGGAAAACCTTTGTCCCTGGAATCTATGTGTTCATGCAAAGTTTCTATACAGGGTCCTGGTCCTCCTTTCTGAAAGGAAAGAGTGGGCTAATCATTTTTTTTCTAATAATTAAAAAGATTTTTAAGTATAAAAAAACACAGAAGGAAATTTACCATCTTAGCTGTGTCTAATTTTACAGTTCAGCAGTATCAAGTATATTCACATGGTTGTGTAGCAACCTCCAGAACTTTCTCAGCTTGCGAAACTGAAACTCAAATCTGCTGAACAACTGTCATTTCTCCTACCCTGCCCTGGCAGCCGCAGTGCCACTTCATGTCTTATGACCCGACTTTTCTAGTTCTCATACAAGGGAATCCCACCGTATGTGTCTTTGCGCGACTGGCTTATTCTACTTGGCACAGTGTCCTCAAGGTTCATCGTGTTCCAGCATGGGATGGGGCTGCCTGCTTGGTAAAAACTGAGTGATGCTGTGCTGTTGTTTTCTCTGTCCACTCAGCCACTGATGGGTGCTGGGGTTGCTTCTGTTGTGGCCAAGGCTGTGGCGAATGGCCAGGGCCTGTGGGTCTGGGGGGCAGGACCTGGCTCATAGGCTGAGGCCCTAGGTTTGATCCTCAGCACTAAATAAATCCTGCTTTTGCTTTCCTGTCTTTTGGAGAGACAGCGGGAAACACGCTTGC